ATGGCCAAATCTCCTTATGCCAGATTGCTGGCAGTTAAATCTGGTCACCCTAATTCCAGCAAAATCCTGTGAAGTGTTTTCTCAAACCCTCATATATGTTTAAATGTTAATATAACCTAAATTCCTCTGTATGACGTGCGTGGGATAAGAATAGAATTTGGTAAACTCTTGAGAAGGTTCAGACTCCTAGAATCTCAGAGCCCAAATGAAACTCAACGTAACTACTCTAAACTTTTCAACTGAATGCATTAATGTTCAGAAAAATTAGACATTTGACCATAGCCACACAACCAAGAAGAAACTAAAAAGTAGTTTTTAATAAAATTGAAGACCAAAAATACGTCACTACGTCAAATATTGCAATAAGGGAACTCAGAGGATACCTCCCTTCAAATAGTGAAACTTCTCAATTTTAGCTTCAAAAGTCCTTGCATGATAGTTTCAAAATACAGAGAGATAAGCTTCCATGTTACCCCTGGTGCTGCATTAGCAGAACCAGGCCATCCGTACTTTGAGAACCTCTTCTAGATGTAATTGTAAGGGACACCCAGCGTTGACGACCACTGAGATATAACATTAGGTTCTGCTCTCCTAATCCATGACATTACCTTCTCTGGGTACCATTTACATAAATTACTTCATCAAAGAGCATTCAGAACTTTTAAAAGAAAATGTTGCTCTCTCGAAAAATCTGAAATGACTTTGAAAAGATTAAGATTCTGTGTTTCAACAGAATATGTAGAAGAATGTACTAATCACAAAAATTAAAGTTCCCACGAGCTCCTTCTGTGGGGAGAAGGAGCAGCCAAGGAAAGATTCTTGTCCTTTTATGGATATGAAGGCTATCATCATATATTACACATACAGAATTAAAGCAGGATCAGGAAAATAGATCTGAACATGAAATTACAGAGTGCTCAGTAGGCAACTGGCCTCTAATAATAAACTGATTTTAACTTAGCATGTTTTTAGTTTAGTTTTCTAGACCCAAATCTCCATGGAGGGAACAAGCAACTGTACAAATTATTGGGGGTGGGGCTTGTTTCCACTTTAAATGTGTTAACAGTGCTCAGTTATAAATATAAACCAAAAATTCAAACGGCACCTTCCAACAGGCATCTACTGTGTCTGTGCCCAGCAAAGTGCCAGGTGCCATAAGGAATTTAGAACACATCAGCTCCAGTTTTTGAGCAACCTAATCAGCATGAAAGAACAAGAATTAAAAAGTAGCACAAAATGAAGATCTTTTATTACATATATAGACAGACCATACAGACATAAGCACAGGTTTTTATGATACATGGGTGTTTCTATCTGATGGTTCAAAAAAGCCATCTGTAATAACTTCTCATTCCTATAAAGGAGAAGGCTAATTTCCACCGTATGGGGCAGTCCAAGATAAGGGTCATAAATTCTGCTAGTGATGCTTTAAAACTTTTCAAAAATCAATTTTACTGGCACATATTTATATCTAATAAAATAATGTACCCATTTTAAATACGCAGTTTATGAGCTGTGAAAAATGTATACACCTGGGTAATCACCACTACGATCAACAAATATAACACTTGGATCCCTGCAGAAATAAATCCCCTTCAAAATCATCCTGTCACTCTAGCTTAGTTTTGTCTGTTTCTAGAATTTCGTATGAAATAGAATCACCCAGTATACAGTCTTTTTTATTCAGACAACGTAACACTTTCGAGATTCATCCATGTTACTGCATACATTGGTAATTCATCCCTTTCTGTTGTCAGGTTGCATTCCATGGCAAGAATATAAAATAATTTGCTTATTCATTCAACATGAAGGTGGGTATTTGAGTCACTTCTGAGTTTCAGGTACTATGAATGAGACTATAGACTGTGAACATTTGTGTGCAAGTCTTTACCTGGGCATATGTTTTCATTTCTCCTAAGGATGGGCCTTGGGATAAAACGCATGTTTGACTTTATAAAAAGTGCCAAATAAGTAGTTCCATCACTTTTACATTCCCATCAGCAAAGTATGAGAGCCGAAACTGCTCCCCATGCTTGTTGCCACTTGGTATTGTCAGTATTTTAATTTTAGTCATTGCTGAGAAGAAAAAGTGGAAACTAATGCTTCAAGAACGCGAACTGCAGAGACATCTTAGTACAGAAGCACTTGCTTACCATTCAAGAAGTTAATCTGGGAGTCCAGTGAGAAACACTAAAATCTTACCCCAAGATTCCATGAACTGGAAAGATTATTTTTCTCCTTCTAAAAT